GGGGGTGGGGAGATTTCAGGGCTGTAGAGGTTGTCTCTAGGTGCTGATCCCCCATCTGGTCTGGATATGGACGGAATCTGTATGGCTACTGTGACCATCTGATCTGGATACAGACTGGATCCATATGGCTACGGTGACCTCGGTATAAGAATGAAAAAGACTAATATTAACATAGATGCCATTCTTCTTACGATGTAGCGAGTACATAGGGTGCTATGGGAAGTGTTCCCTGTTCCGTTTGATCTAATTAATACAGACTAACAATCCTTTAACGGACTTCGATTATAGAAACGCGATAGTGTATTATGTGCATGCCAGGTTAAAGAGATGGGTCTTTAATCTAGTCTGCCATCAAATAGCACACCTAGGTTCCTAACTGATGATGAAGAATTAACAGAGCAGCCATCAAGTGTTAGACAGTGTTTTATGTTATTACATGAGGAGGTTTTTGGTCCAATAATTGAAACCTCTGTTTTTTTGGTTTTTGTTTTTTTTCAGAATTTAGCAGTACAAAATTACTAGTCATCCAGTTTTTTTATATGCATTCCTTTAGTTTTGCGAATTGGTATGTTTCATCAGGCCACAAAGAAATATAGAGCTGAGTATCATCAGCATAACAGTGAAAGCTAACACCATGTTTTTTAATAGTATCTCCCAAGGGTAACATGTAAGCATGAAAAGCAACAGTCCTAGTACTGAGCCTTGTGGTACTCCATACTGTACTTGTGATCGATATGATACCTTATCATTCACTGCTATGAATTGATGTCGGTCAGATAAGTAAGATTTGAACCATGACAATGCAGTTCCACTAATGCCAAGATAATTTTGTAGTCTACTCAAAAGAATGTTGTAGTCGATAGTATCAAACGCAGCGCTAAGATCCAGTAGCACTAATAGAGAAATGCAACCACGATCGGATGGTAAGAGCAGGTAATTTGTAACTCTGATGAGAGCAGTCTCAGTACTATGATACGGTCTAAATCCTGACTGGAAATCCTCACAGATACCATTTCTCTCTAAGAAGGAGCATAGCTGAGAGGATACTGCCTTTTCTAGTATTTTTGACAAAAAATTAAGATTTGAGATCGGTCGGTAATTCTCTAGAATCAAGTTGTGTTTTTTAATGAGAGGCATAATAACAGCCAATTTGAAGGTTTTGGGGACATATCCTAATGACATTGAGGAATTAATAATATTCAGAAGAGGATCTATGACTTCTGGAAGCACCTCTTTTAGTAGCTTAGATGGAGTAGGGTCTGACAGACATGTTGTAGGTTTTGATTATTTGATAAGATTATACAATTCTTCCTCTTTTATAGCAGAGAATGAGTGGAATTGTTCCTCAGGGGATCTAAATTGCACTATCTGATGCAATGCTGTAACTGATGATAAGTGTCCCCAACTAAGCAAGCCAAAGGCGACAGTGGTAAGGGGCCTAAACTCCCTTTGGGGGGTGGGGTGGGGGGTGGGGAGATTTCAGGGCTGTAGAGGTTGTCTCTAGGTGCTGATCCCCCATCTGGTCTGGATATGGACGGAATCTGGGTGGCTACTGTGACCATCTGATCTGGGATTTAACAATTTATACGATTCTTCTTCTCCTATAGTAGAGAATGAGTGGAATTCTTCCTCAGGGTATCTAAATTGCACTATCTGATGCAATGCTGTAACTGATGACTGCATGGTTATAATTTTATCTCTAATAGTATCGATCTTGGAAGTAAAGAAGTTCATAAAGTCATTACTGCTGTTATGTTGGGGAATGTCTGCGACTGTTGATGCTTTATTTTCCATTAATTTAGCCATTGTATTGAATAAATGCCTAGGATTGTGTTTGTTTTCTTCTAAGAGAGACAAAAAGTAAGCGGATCTAGCAGTTTTTAGAGCTTTTCTATAAGTATCAGTACTTTCCCACCATGCAATACGAAATACCTCTAGTTTTTTTTTTCTTCCAGCTGTGCTCCATTTTCCGGGCTGCTCTCTTTAACGCACGAGTGTGCTCGTTATACCATGGTATTGAACTGTTTTCCTTAATCTTCTTTAAGCACAAAGGAGCAACCTTATCTAAAGAGCTAAAAAAGATAGATTTTATAGTTTCTGTTACACCATACATTTTTTTCTGAGCTGTTGGATTTGCTGAGGAATTGAGTCAGGAAGATTATTTACAAAGCAGTATTTTGTGGTAGAAGTGATGGTTCTACCATATTTGTAACAAGGAGTTGAATTTGCAGCTTTAGCTATATGGAGTATACACGAGGTTAGATAATGATCCGAGATATTATCACTCTGCTGCAGAATTTCAACACCATTAATATCAATTCCATGTGACAGTATTAAATGTAAAAGTATGATTACAACAATGAGTAGGTCCTGACACATGTTGTCGAACCCCAATGGAGTTCAGGATGCCTATAAATGCTGATCCCAATGCATCTTTTTCATTATCAACATGGATATTAAAATCATCAACAGTTAAGACTTTATATGTAGCTAGCACTAACTCGGATAGAAAACAGAAAATTCTTTGATAAAGTCTGTATGGTCCCTGGTGACATGTATACAGTAGCCAGTACAAACGCCACAGGTGATTTATCATTAACACTTGTTTTATTGGATAATGTTATATGAAGCACCATTACTTCAAATGAATTATACTTGAAACCAAACTTCTGAGAAGTACTGAAAATATTACTATCACCTCCCCCTTTACCTTTTGGATGTGGCTCATGTTTATAACAGTAATCTTGGGGGGT